GAGCTCTTTCCAAGAACGGCTCTTCAAGCCTGGTTGCCAAGATAAAGGAGCCACTGGGCGGTCAGCCCCCAGGAGGAAATATCGCTCCTGTGGCCTTTGTTGTTCAAAGGGCTTTGCGAAATATCCAGACTCCTCTTGGAATGGATCCTAGGCTGGGGTGGTGGTTTCCCCACAGCTGGGGATGTGGCTGAGGGTGGCACAGCCTCCCCAGCCTGGCAAGGGGAGGAGCACCCCAGGGGACCAGGCTTAGAGTCATCAGCAGCCGTGGCAGCGGTTTAATCCTTCGCTTCCATTATTAGCTCACTTGATTCCCACGAGCCAGGGGGGCAGATGGAGATCTCCCCATTTTACAGATGATAAAACAAAGGTTCACAGAAGCCTAGTTAGTTAAGTCGCCAAGTCGTGTCCGACTCTATGCGACCCCGTGGACTATAGCCCACCAGGCTCCTCTGTCCATGGGATTCTCCAGGCAAGAATACTGGAGTGGGTTGCCATTTCCTTGCAGCTCATTAAACAGCCCCACAGTGACTGACTGCTAGAAGTGTCTGTCTGACTTGGTACCAGTCCCAGACTCAACTCAGCCCTGCCCCCAATTAAGCTCTGCCCTGGCCCCAATCTGAGCCCGAACACTGACCTCTAATTGAACTGTGTCTTGCCCTGGACTGAGCCCTACCCTTTGCCCTGAATGATCCCTGATCCCAGCCAAACACAAAGCTTTGACCCTGGCCCCCTTCTGAGCCCTAGCTCTGGCTCCTAACTGATGTGCCCCAGGCTGATCCCTGATTCTAGCCTCAGACTTCTGGCCTTGTTCCAGACCAAGTCCTGATTCTTGCCTCGGATTGCCTCTCCTTTTAGCTATAAGCCCCATGAGACTAGAGACCTGTGCTCCTCATCCACTTCATCTTTGTGTATGTGTGATTATTCAAGTAATCTCTATTTTAACCACTAGACCCTCATAGGTCCAGGGAGGCTGGATCTAGTTTTGTTCACCAACACTTGTAGTAGTGTAACCTTAGCAGTAATAAGTATTTATCGAATATAAATGCCAGGCTTTGTGCTCAGTGTTTCACAGATGGTATTTCTTTTAAGTCTTTTGAAGTCACTGTTCTCATTAGACCATTTTACAGACTAGGACATTGAGCCCTGCAATGGCACTAGGAGGAGGTGCATGGAAGCGTAGTATGCTCTCAGCAGCTCCCTTCACCCATCACACCCAGCTGCCTGATGGGGGTGAACAGGGAAGACTCGGCTGTAAGATCAAGGGGAGGCATTCAGGCAGGTGGGAGAAGTTGAGATCTTTCCAGAGACTCTTGAGTTTCCAAAGCCACAGAAGGGCTGGGTGAGTCAGAACTCAGGGAGGTTGAGGTGAGGGAGTGAGAGCAGCTACATGACTGGTGGTGTGTGTGCGTGCTCAGTCGTGTCCGGCCCTTTGCGACCCCGTGGACCGAGTCCAGGGCAAAATGAAAATTCAGGGTCCTTTGTTTAAAAGTTGAAGATTTTTAAATGGAGACATCAGAACAACACAGGGCTTAAACTCAGGGGCCTGTGTGTCTCCCTAAGTGTCCCCCAGAGAGGAGATGTTGTGTGAGGATGGGTGTATGGGGTCAGGGAACATGGGTGTTGAATGGCAGCTCGGGCCCTGATCTGACTCTTGTGTGGGCATCTGGACAGCATCTTCAGCAGGCCTCGGGCAGAGCTCATGAAGAATCTCGGGCACCAAGCTGGCAGCATAGCTGGGAGGCCTGTGTGTTGGTGGAGGGAGTTGGAGCCGCTGTCCCAGTGTTGGGGGGATGCTGTCTGGAGTGTGAGTGAGACAGGAAGAATGCACGTTTCAGGGAGGGGCAGGTGTACAGCCTCCTGGCGAGGCTGAGGACTTGTATGGGGTGGAGAGACAGACACCCTGAGATTGATGCAATGCAGAAGTCAGCATGTCCCGTGTGTGGTTATGACAGGAGTTGGGATGGGGGTACATGTGTCATGGGGAGTGTGGGAGTGTGTGGGGATGACTGTGGATGAGAATGTGTGCAAGAGCCCCACTTGCCCTCCTGGGGTTGGCCCTGTCCCTGTCATGAGGGGGTCTCAGGTGGTGATGTCCCCCAGCCCCCAGGTCTTGGAGAAGTCAGGTCCCCTCTGGAGACATTCCTGCCTGCATGAGCGGGGTGTGTGTGTGTGTGTGTGTGTGTGTGTGTGTGTGATGCGGCGAGGCGAGGTGTGCAGAATCACACAGCCACCTCCCAGGCTGCCGGGGTGATGCTGGGCCAGTGGTGTCAGGTTCCTGGTGGCGGGCCCTCCCTCCACAGCCCTCTGAGGGCCTTTGTTGGAAGTTCAGACAAACTTGTCAGGGGGGCAGGCAGGAGGCCGCCTCCTAATCGGCTTTCCCAGAAGGGAGAGGGGAATGAGGGATGGGTGGGGGTAGGCTCCAGGTCCAGCAGCTCTGTGGGAAAGGGGGGAGGGGCAGGCCCAACCCTAAAGAGGTCTGTCCTCCGGGACCCTCTCAGATGGTGCCCCTTCCACAGGCCCCTGGGGGAACCCTTGACTGAAGGGAGATGGGCCAAGGTCCAAGGAAATAAGGATTCAGGGGGAAACTCCAGGGAGCACCCTGCCTTTCTCATCTTGCCCGCTGTGGGCTGTCTGAGCACCTACTGCATGCTGGGCACAGACCACTCAGCCCCTCAACCTGCTCCAGACCCTTCCCTTCATCTCACCCAAGCCTCCCTGGAAGCAGACTGGATGCGGTTAATGATTCCCAGTCAATAGAAGAGGAAACTGAGGGTCAAAGGCAACAACAGCTGGGAGCAGCTTGTCCCAGCTCTGTAACAGAATCTTTTTGGCTATGTAGTCAGTTTCCCTGAGGTCCCATCCTCGCCGTCCCCTGTGTGAGCTCGCTTAGTGACATGGCTTCGTTCTCCATCTCTGTTGACAACCACCAAGGTGAAGCATGTGGATTCTGAGGTTAGCCGGGCTTTCACACCGTGGTTGGCCCATTACTAGCTGTGTGGTCATAGGCAAGTTATTTAACCTCTCTGTGCTTCAGTTTCTTTATCTATTAAATGGGGATAACAGTAATACCTACCACATAGCATTATGTGAGGATTAAGTGACTTAATATCTGTGAGGTGCCAGTCACAGAGAAAGTGCCATATAAGTACTTATTAAATAGATTAAAATCTAAAACAGTGTAGACAGGCCCCTGTCTTCCACCTTGATCCAGTACATCCCAATATCTTCCCTTGAACAAATTAAAGACACCCCAAAGATCAGCCTGAGCTCAGGATCATTCCCAACCCAGCCCAAGGTTCCCCTGCACCAAACCAGAGACTCAGAGCACCCTTGACCCCTCCCAAGCCTGTAGTCCCCATGGAAATTCTACTTCCTTAATCTCTCATCAGTCTGACCCCTTCTCCCACTCCTCCTCCCCTAGTCCACACCGATGCCACCCTCCTCTCATCAGGATGTGACAATGGCCTCCTCTCTGGTCTCCCTGCCTCTTCCAAAACCACCATTCAGCAAAGGTATGGGAGGGCAGAATTTCCTAAAATGCAAGTCTGATCCCCCCACTCCCCCAGCTCCTAATCTCCCTGGAGCTTGAGTTTCAGCTCCCAGCTTCCCTTTCCCTCCTCAGCCCCTGACACTACCCACCCCATCCTTGCCCTTGATCCCCATCACTTGGGACTCACCAGCCACAGGTCCTGCAGCTCTGTGGGTGCTACGCCTCCCAGGACTCTCTTCTCTCTTGCTCTCCTGGCGAACACTGGACCTACGGGACTCAGCCCCAGTCTCCCTCCCAAGGGGCCTTCCTGATCTCCCTGGGCTAAGTAAGCCAGGAACCCTACTTCCTGGAACTCTGTGCTCCCATAGTTTTCTATTTTTTGAACCCCAAATCACCCTGTTTTGTACTGTCTTGAGAGGACTTTGCCTTACTTGTTTCTATATACCCGGCACAGGGCCAGGCATACAGCAGGTGCTCAGTAAACGCTGAGTGCTTGAATGCTTTGAACTGCAGAGGTCCAGGGGCACCCTCTCCACCAGGGAAGGTGTGTACCTGGGGTGGAGATATGTAGGGGCAGGCAAGGCTCAGGTTTGGGAGGGGCGGTGGGAGATTTGGGGCAGACATTTGATCTACCAGCCCCTCCCAGGGAGGTAGGAAGACAAGGTGAAGGAGGTGATCCCCGCCCTAATCCTCAGCCCCACTGGGGAGAGAGGAATGTGCCTCCTAGGGTCCAGCAGTGACCTGGGAAATGGGGGGTGGGGCTGGCCAGGGCCCCGTGGGTCCCTGTGGCCTGAAGCGCCTACACCCGCCCAACCCCCACCGAACCCAGCAAGCAGCTTCCTGCACACCATTCATCCCTCCTGAGGGTCTCCTCCCAGAAAACTTCCAGAGGGGATTCTCACCCCCAAACCCAACCCTGAGCTTGCAACCCTGCTTCTGGCCCCGTGCCGACACCCTGGGGAACAGACGTGAAGGCTAAGTAGGGGAAATTGCTGGTCGTTTTTTCTTCTTGAAAAGAAGGACCTTCACAAATCCCCCGTCCATCCAGCCACCACAGCAGATCCTTCTTCCTCCTCTGCTCGCTCACCTCCGAGGACTAAAGAGCTCCCTACCTGCACAGGCTGCCCATCTCATTGGAGAACAGCCCTGGCTTTAGATCTAGTGTGCCTTCCTGTCGTTCCCACAGAAACTCTGTCTGCTCCATCCTACAGACCCATTCCCCAGCCCACCCCGAAACCCTCCTAGTGGCCCTGGACCCCCCGCTGCCCTACCACAGGTGCTTGAACGAGGACCAACAACCCAGAGGAGATGGAATCCTTCCCCACCCAGGTCCCTCTGCTCCCTGCGACTCCCCAGAGGGCACTCCAGCCCCAGACAGGTGAGGGCCCTGGAGGAAGTAGCCAATCATGAGGCAGGTCTGCCTCCCTCCCCTACGGGCCACAGTGCTGAACCACCTGCTCAGTCCACTGCGGGCCCCTCTGGAAATGAACCTGGACTGCAGGCTGTGCTGCCAGATTCTCGTTTATTAGCCAAGTAGGACAAAGAACAGGTCACAACGTCACAGGCAGTCAGACAGACAGACAGAGGGGTACACGGGACAGAGTGTCATGCCGCACTCCGCAGGGGGTGGAGCAGGGGAGGGGGCACTTGAGTCTTGTTTTCTCAACTAACAGAATAAATAAATACAGTACACAGTGGTTTTGCCACGGGCTGGCACGACCTCTAAGCACAAAAGGTCACAAAACAGCTGGTTTGGAAAGCAGTCTGTACAACCCGCTGCTGCGGAGTCGGGGTGGGGGACCCAGGCCTGTGGACCATGCTCTGGGGAGGTGAGGAGGCGGGACACAGAGGCCTTGAGTGGGATGGAGAGGAGAGGAACGAGACCTTCCTGGGAAGGACAGTCAGAGCCTGACTCTCAGCCTGCAGGTGACCAGCCCGCTCCGGGAGAGGCTTCGGCCTCAGTCTCTGGTGAGGTGGGACAGTCCCCAGCTCATAAGAGGTGCAGGTGCTGCTTACACATAAGCTCCCCTCTTGCTCTCTAACTGCTTTCGTTCACCAAGGCTGGTCCCCTAAACTAGGTTGAGATCTGCCCAGGGAAGGGGACCACATACACTTTCCTTGCCTTCTCTGGGCTGGCGGAACTGAATGAAGAAGCCTTGAAAAAGCTCTGAGGGAAGCTAGGCTGAGCCAGAACATGACTCCAGGGTGGACTTGCTCCTTGGGAAATCTGGGGAGGCTTCTTGGGGGAGGTGGGCATGTCTAGAGCTACTGGATTAGTACGTGCAGTGATAGTCATATGCCTCCAGGGACAGGCAAAAAGCTTCAGTCCTCAGGCCTGGGCTAGATGAGATCTCTTTCATTTCAGAAACAGAACTTTCTGATCCCAGAGGATAAAACAGAAACCTCTTCTAACCACTAGAGTTGCTCTCTCTGCCTTCCTGTCTCCCTGCCTGTCTCTCCTCTGATCTCCGGTGGCTGTTAGATTCACCTTCCAAATCCCAGATACCCAATCCTGGTTCAATTAATCCCCCTGTTCAGAAACCCTCACCTCCCTGCCTTTGTCCCTGCCACATAGAAGTGAGGACTTTAACCTGGATTCAAGAACCTTGGCCCCACCTCTCATGAAGCCAGCCACCATTTCCCCATCATCCACATAGCCTCACTCCATTGCTTTGTTCAAATAGCTTTCCTGGCCCAAGCTACCATCCCCCTCACTTTTTCCCCATTCAAAGTCTTCTCCATTTGCCCTGGCCCAGAACTCATCACAGATCATGGGCATCGACTACTCTGCAAACCAGTCCTAACTGTAGACCCTCCTCTTCTCCCACTGGGAGAGAGACAAGCCTTAGGTATCTTTACCCTGGTTTTCAGATGCAGCTTCTCTAAGCAGGGGGTGGAAGCTTAGTGGTGAGCCACAAAGTGCTGGGTCTGGGGATCATGACCCAGAATCTGTGCAAGCCATTATTCTCCTCTTGCCCTGAGCCCTGAGCCTACATGAAGGCTTGGAGATGGGTGCCCACAGAGGCTGGACTAACACTCAAGAAAAGCAGGATCAAATCCAGATTGTCTCAACTCAAAGGGACCCATTACACTTACTGGGAAAACTGAGACCCAGAGACTGTGGCTGTGCCCAGGGAGAGGCTTGTGCCTGCAATACCCTTTGCTCCACAGCCATGCAACAATCATTCTCTAATTCAAACACTGTGCTTTGTGAGAGCCTTTTTGTGGTGGTTGTTAGATTAATTAAAAACCTCTGCCCTGCAAGGTTGAAAGCACAGATGTGTGGAATGTTAGAGCTGGATAGGATGTTACAGGCCCTCTAATCCAGGTAGGGAGTGGGCACAGGGGCTATGGGCTGACTCAAGGTCATACCGCTTTGAAAGGGAGTTTGCTGAGCTGGGCTGCTGGCCACAAATAGGAATACACCTTTCTGTGCCAGCGATTCGCTGGAAGCCCTTACTTCGACAGTGGGCTCTGAGGCAGGATGCCAGCTGAAGCCCTGAGACTCTGCATTGCCAATGGTGTGATCAGGAGGTGGAGGACCCTCCCTCCTGGCTCGGCCACACCCTGCCACGGACACTAACTGTGGAACCTCAGGCTTGGGGACAGAAGACCTTATTTCTCGAAGACACTTCTCTGAAAGCACCTGTGCCCTACTGCCTCCTGCCAACCAGGGAAGTTTTACCAGAGAGAGGTCTAGAGCCCTGTGGTCAGCCCTGGATGAATGCTGGCCCCGGGCTCCAGTCCTGGAGGTTTTATAGCCAGAGATGCTGTCCTTCTACCGTCTGCTTCAGCCTGACTCCTGACTCCACTTTCCTCCGTCTCAATCTGGGCTGGGGATGGGGAGGGGGCGTCTCAAAGCTAGAAAAGACAGAGAACATGCCTTTCTAGATACAGGCCAGGGTCGGGGGTGGGAAATAGGGCCCCCTCCTGCCTGCCACTGCAGTGGCTACGGACTGGTAGTATCACCTCTACTGGAAGGAGAAGCTGCCTCAAGAGGGTGCGGGCGGGGAGGAGCCAGGAGATTGGGAAGAAGTGAAAGGAGAGGAACAGGAAGAAGCCAAAATGACTAAAACTGAAAAGCCATAACCCCAAACGAAACATAATTTGGGAACAGTCTACATCAACACAGCCAGCACCCAAGAAACAAAGCAGGGGCAGGAAGAAGAGACACGGTGGGGAGATCCAGAGAGGGGAAGACAGAGGCTGGGGAGAGGAGGAGGAGGAAAGGGGAGACAGAGAGAGAGGAGGGAAGGCCAGAGTGAGACGCAGAAGCTGTAGGCAGAGCTGGGGGGTGGCAGTGGAGAAGCGATGGAGCAGGGCAGGGGGCCTGGGGCAGGCAGGTGCCTGAAAATATAGCTTTATATATTTATATTTATATCTCACATTCCACACAGCAACTTACTAGGGGAGGAAGCAGGGGATGGGAGGAGGCGACACTGAGGCAGGGGTCTGGCCAGCGAGAACCTCTCACTCCCCGAGGAAAGCTGGGGGCACTGGCCTCTCACCTTCTCCCCATTCGGCCTCCGTGAGATCCAAGCAGGGCCATGCAGAGGGTGCAGGTGTGGGCTTCACTGAGGGCTGGAGCTGGGGAGGTGGGGGGACAGGAAGCAGGACTCCAAGGCCCCAGGATCCCTGGGCTCATGAGGTAGCTCCCTGAGAGCCATGTTGGGATGAACCTGGGGCTGGGCTGGGGGCACCCGAGAGCCCTGGCTGCAGCGGGAGCCAGCAGTCAGTTAGGCAGCGTATCAAGTCCCAGGGATGCTGCATGCTGCTTGGCCCGAAGCCGCAGGTTCTCGATGCTTGTGGTTTTACTGTTCAGGGCGGCCGAGGCAGGTGCCAGGCCTGCAGGGGGCGCAGGCAGCAGTGGGGACCCCCACACGCCCTGGTGGGCAGCGGCGGCCGCTGACAGCGACTGGTAGTAGGACTGGCAGTGCAGTGATCCCAGCGGGGCCACGTTAACGCCCAGGTAGGGCACAGCAGCAGCGGCGGCGGCTGCAGCGGCAGCGGGGGCCGGGCCCCCCACTTCAAAGGAGGAGTAGTGCACCAGGTTGTTGGTGGCAGCCATGTGCTGGCGGAACTGCTCCTGCAGACGGAAGAGGCTCAGCGGGGAGGAGGAGTAGGAGTGGGAGGGGCCCAGGAGGCCAGCCCCCGGGGCTGCAGGCGTCAGGGCCAGGGTGCCCGGGGAATCTGCAAGCAGAGAATCAAGAACCGAGGACTCAGGACAAGAGCACTGGTCTGCCAGGAGGGGCTCCCCCTCGGCCTCGCCTCCCCCGTGGCGCTGTAGACAAGACGAGCTGTGGCTGAAATCATACCCACCCATCTCAGCCAGGGCTTCCCCTGAAGCCACGGTGTCCCCAGAATCCTGGGAGGGAGGGACCCAAGCTTCCTGACAGCATGGGCTCTGCCAGGGCCCTCATAACTGACGTCTTAGGGAGTCTCCTTTTCTTGTTTTGGTTTTTGTTGTTTGTTGGGTTTGGTAGAACAAAAGAGTTCTATTGACTCTCAAAATCTTTACAACAGAATCAGATTAACATGGGGAATGGCTGAGCCATAAGCAGTAATACAGAAGTGTCCCACTCCAAGACTCCTGTTCTTTCCAAGGGTTTGCCTCCCCTTTCCCTTTCCTGTCTGTGGTTCCCCTTCGCCTCCAGCTCTCAGCTCACAGCCCCTTCCCCTCCCTGCCTGGATGCAGGGTTTGTGACTGAGATAATGCTTCCTGCCAGAGCTCTGCTCCTTCAAAAAACACAGCCCGGAGTCTGCTACATTTGGGGATCTCTGGTACTCGTATAGCACTCACCCAATATGTACTGGTACATCTGTACTGTTGTTAAAATACTGGACTGATAAATAGCTTCTACCCTAAGCTCTTCAAGTATCCCTCCCCTGCCACACAGCCCCCTCCCTTGACCTTGCCAGGATTCAGAGACTAACGGGGGATCACCTGGCACGGACCTGCTATGGCCGTGTCTTTTCTCTGGGTCAGGGCCAGTGCCATGTGTCCAGGGTTAACTCTATCTCTGCTCTGACACCCCTGGCAGAGCCAGGCCCCTGGGCGGCTAGACCTGGCCATTCTCCCTAGGCGGGGCCCCAGACCAGCCATAGCCCCTGCCAAACCTCACCTGCCTTGGGGCTGCCCCTCTTGCAGCCCAGCCCCTTGCTCTCAGCCCCAGGGCTCTTCTCGGTCTTGGGATCCTCAGTCCCTGCCCGGGGGTCTTCCTCCCGGTCCAGCTGGTCTTCAGGGGCCGACTCACTGGCCGACTGCTCAGACAGGCTCAGGTGAAGCTCAGCAGGGGGGTCACTGCTGGGCAAGTTGGGGGGCTGGTCAGTCTCCAGCTGGGTGTCTGGGGTTGGGGCCTCAGTCTTGCCTTCCCCATGGGATCCCTCAGCCTCCTTCTGCTTCTGGAGCTGCTCTTTCTGCAGGCTGCGCTGCTTCTTCCGGAACTTGGCCCTGCGGTTCTTGAACCACACCTAGGGACGTGGAGAGGAGCAGCAGGAATGGGAGGGGATGCAGTACAGTTGTGGAGCAGGGTGCTCCCCAAGGGGATGTGCAGGATAAGGTCGCCCCGCCCTCTGGGAAACACGCACCCACAATCCCTTCCCCAGCTCCCCTCCTGTCACTGTAGTCATTCATGGAGACACCAGGTGCAGTGTGAAATGTTGGCTCCTGGACAGTGGGAAGCCAGACTGATGAGTTGGTGCTTGTCTGCAAGGTCTAGCTGGGCCCTACCTGCACCCGGGCCTCAGGCAGGTTGGTGCACATGGCCAGCCTCTCACGCATCACCACGTCCGGGTAGTGAGTCTTCTGGAAGGTCTTTTCCAGGGCCTCGAGCTGCTGAGCCGTGAACGCCGTGCGGCTGCGACGCTGTTTGCGGTGCTGGGAGCCATAGCGGGCCTCCAAGATGATGTCTTGAAATGTACAGCCGTTGGAGGGCAAGGAGAGGGGGCCCATTTAATTATGGGAAATAGGTTTTAAATCTTACCCTGCTCTGACCCACTGTGGTCCTGCCAGAGTTAGAACCTGGTCTCTTCCCCATGGAAATCACCCATGTCCTCTCCATGTAGCTGGATTTTCAAGATCACTCCACACTATCTTTCACTATTAGGCCCACTGAACTCTAATTCATCTCTAAGAATGGCTGTTAGGAATATGCCTGAGGGGGATCTTCCTTATTTGAGGTGGGGGGTGGGCGGGCTTTACCCTAAAACCCATAAGTGAAAGTGAAAGTGAAGTCGCTCAGTCGAGTCCGACTCTTTGTGACCCTATGAACTGTAGCCTACCAGGCTCCTCCATCCATGGGATTCTCCAGGCATGAATACTGGAGTGGGTTGCCATTTCCTTCTCCAGGGGATCTTCCCTACCCAGGGATCGAACCCATGGATCTAACCCAGGTCTCCAGCATTGGAGGCAGATGCTTTAACCTATGAGCCACCAGGGAAGCCAAAATTCATAAAGTCCTAGAATAATAAGATATAATATTCTGAGAGTACATGATGCTGTCAATTTGGAAGTCCATGTCACAAAGGTTCTAGAGCCAATGACCCTTAGATTCTGGATACCAACAGAATACCGCCCTGACCATGAGAAGCCAGGCTGTAAGCTTGGGACCTATCTGCAAGGTCTTGTTAGCAGGAGTCTGATTGAGTAGATGGAATTCACTGGCTCTTGATCCTATGTCCTCTGGCTATGAATTTCATCATCCCAGTTGACCTATGAGTCTCTGATGGTAGGACCTGAGACCTTGGTTTTATATCTTCTCAACAGAAAGGCTGGCTCTGGCAGGGCTGGCAGCCTTAGAAAGGCTGGTTGCATGCAGTCTTGGCCCTTCTAGCTGCTTTCTCCAGGAGGTAAGGACAAAGAGAGCAGGTACTAACCACCACCAGAGGCTAGGAGAGGAGACAGGCCTGATAGACCACAGATTCCACGGTCCTGCCCAAGTGCTGAGAACGGAACCTCCCAGCATATATATCTGCCTGGAGTTGCTGTCTACCCTCCTGCTCTTCCCTGATAGCTCAGTTGGTAAAGTATCTGCCTGCAGCGCAGGAGACCTGGGTTCGATCCCTCGGTAGGGAAGATCCCCTGGAGAAGGAAATGGCAACCCACTCCAGTATTCTTGCCTGGAGAATCCCATGGACAGAGGAGCCTGGTGGGCTACTGTCCATGGGGTCACAAAGAGTCTGACATGACTGAGCAACTTTCACTTTCACACTCCTGCTCTTCTGCTTGACTAGTCCCAGGAGGATGGACAGTTAACTTCTCTTTCCCGGCCTCCCACCACCCATAAGCGAGCCCTGGACTATCTATGCTGAAGGGAACCCAAGCTGCGTCAGCCTTTGCACAGGGCCACCTTCACTTCAGGGACTGGAAAGTCAACTCAACACTCTAAACAAGGAAGAAGGAGCAACTGGGTCTCCAGGAAGCCTCAGGCTTTGGGCTGCTCCTTCTTCAATGTAAAGAGGGAGCTCTGAACCCCTCACAAACCAGCACTAATCCCAACCTGGGCTGAGCCCCAAGCTGATGCTGGTTACACTGGAGAAGGGGAAGGAGAGAACCCCTCTCAGTGGAACCCTGGGTGCGGGAGTAACAGCTCAGCATCCTGCTGCTGGTTCCAGGGGCTGCAGGTGACGGCAGGGGGCTGCTGCCTAGGAGACCAGGCTGTCTGCACCATCAGCAAAACCTCCTGGAAGTCAAGGCCTTCATACGAGGGCCCGCCTGGAGCTCGTGTGCCTCCTTCTTTAAGATTAGAGGGTTGGTGGGAGCACTGAATACTCCACTTCCTCTGTCCCTGACCTTTCCTCTCTGAGCCCTGGAACATGGTCAGGATCTACAATGTCACCACCAGGCCGGGCACAGGGAACTCACTCCAAACCAGAGAAGCAGCCATAGCCGGGCAGGCCCGCACACACATTGCCACACTGGAGACTGATACTCATCCACAGAAGGTGACCAGGGGCTCAGTTTCATCCTCTGAGCCCTTCCCAGAGCCTTGCAGGGTCTAAAGTAGTAGAAGTGGCTGCCCCTCCCGTACCCAGACCTCACAGCTCATTGCATTTCTGTGCCTTTCTCATGCTAGTCCCTCTTCCTTGCCCTTTTAAGGCTGTTCTCCTGCCCCATGCTCTCCAGGAAGCCCTCCCTGACCGCACCAGCTAATCACGCTTATCTGGTCTGCTGCACCACTTGATCCTGGCCACATTCTTTCTGCTGTGCCCTCTCATAGCTATATGGGCACCTGGTATCCCTGGAAGTACCCTAAAGCCCTCCCAGGACCATCTGGCACAGGCCCAGAGCAGTTCATCTGCTGCTTGAGGTTTGGCCTGGGAGAGGATGGGGTGGGTGGCCTCACCTCTCAGGAACTCACATTCCCCACCCAAGCCATCAAATCCTTGCCACATTCACTGAGGCACTCTCACAGCAGAGCAACCATGGGAGAATGGGAGTTGGGGGGACAAGGCTGTAGCTCCCTCACGGGCGCTTCCCATAGGACCTGGATAATAATTTCCTCTGAGCACCTACCAGTCCCTGCTGAATGCCCTACATGTGTTACCTCAAGTAACAGGCACACCGTCCTATGGAATGGGCCCCACCAGGTTCCCTGTTTATGAACGGGAAGCTGAGGCTCAGAGAAGAGAGGAGAGCAGGCACACCCTACAATGATGGCAAGTCTGAGACTTCAAAGCTCAGATCTTTAGCCATAAGGTCCCATTCTAATCTCCCACCCCAGCCCTACCTAGATTTAGCCTCACTGAGCCTCCGTTTCCTTGTCCATACAATGGAGATAATAACCTCCCTTTACTGGAGTTGGATGGTTTAATGCACAGAGAGAAAGAGCAACTCATGTGGTGCCTGGCCACACAATCAGTGATCAAAATGTGGGCGCTGTTACAGAAGTGGCTCCCGGGGCACTCTGGCCACTTCCCAGCTGGAAGGCTCTGGGCTAGTCCCTTACCTCCTACCTCCGTCTCTCCACCTGTGAGAGGCTATTGGGCCCCTCCCTCAGAGCGCTGTTAAGGAAATCTGAAGGAAAGCACAGGCCAGGCCCAGGGCCCTGGCAAACATGGGTGCTCTGGATACGCACACAGATTTTGAATTGACATCTCCCTGTGCCATACGTGACCTGGGTCCTCCTGAATTTCATTCCCAGTGCTCCCTCCTGCCTTCACCTTCCAAACAGAGTCTTGTCCCCCAGATTTCTCCTCCACCCTGCAGCCCCCGTCCCCACAAACGGCCCTTACCAGCCAGGCGCTCGGCCAGTGTGAGCGCATGCACCGAAGGCCGGTAGTCGGGGGCGTGCTGGGCCTGCTGGGCCGCCTGCTGGTGCAGGTTGTACATGGCGCTGAGCGAGTTCATGGCATGCAGCGAGTAGCCATTCACCCCGTAGTGCTGCATCACGGCATGTGCCTGCAGACGGGCGAGAGGGAGGGGACATGAGGCCATGTGGTCACACTCTACCCTGGGGGAGACACCACCCCTCGCCCAGACCTTGGATGCTCACCTCACCCCTGAGCTTCTGCCACCTCGTGGGAAAGAGGCCCACCTTGCCCACAGCTAAGAGCGAGAGGGCTCCTGCCTCTATTTATTTATTCATTCAGCCACTCATTCATTGATTCATGCAGCAGGACTTGTGTAGGGCTTAATGCTCTGGGCTCTGGAGTCACATTGCCTGAGCTGGACTCTCCACCCTGCCACCTGCAGGCTTTCTGGCTTTGAGTAAGTCACTTAACTTCCCTGACCTTCAGTTTCTCCATCTGCAAAATGGGGTGAGTAATAGTACTTATTTCGTGGGGTTGTTGCAAGGATTAAGAGAAGCCTTTACAATAAACAGGGTTTGGTATATAGGGTATGCTTGAACACGTTAATCATTGGGATTCAACAATCTGTTTGCTACTTCATTCTTCATTCACCATCTTCGTTCTTCATCTCTTCATTAATCACCCAGGCACCTACTAATTTGCACCTCACACACATATTATTTGTTCAACAAAAAGCCAAGGAGGCTCACAGGGAGCCACGTCCAGAGCTGGACTGGAGTGACTCCAGTCACTGGACTCAGTGAGGCATTTGCTCTGGTGAGATAATGGACTACAACCCTCATGTGCCACACAGCTGTAAGAACACGGTTACTATGACTGTCATGTGCACACAGCCATTGCCTCCCTGTATTCTCACCATATGCCCAAGAAGCAAGCAGACCTAGAGCAAATGAACTCCATTTACAGATGAGTCTACTGATGCTTGGAGAAACAGCAGTGATATGTTGAGGCCACACAGACCATGCAGGGCCTCCTCCACCCCACAGATGAGGCTGCTCCTTCCAGCCTCATTCTTTGGCTGCCAAAAAATGCACATCAGAGAGTACATCCCTTCTGCTGAGGTGGCTCAGATCGGCACGAGGCTGCCAGGGCCCCACCAGCCCTAGGGCTCCTCCAGACCCTCCCAGTCCTTATGCCCACCAAATATTGGCCTGAAGTGTCAGTTTTGGAACATGGACCATTTGACAAAAGAAAGACCATGTCCAGGTATTTCGGCTCCCTACACTCACTGAAGTGGACATATCACCAAACATCCATAGCACACACACATGTACACATGCACACACATACTTCATGCACAGATACACATATGCAGACACTCTTCACATAAGTAGTCATACTCACACACAAATTCATCAACAATCACAAACGCAATGTCATTATTCGCACAGTTCCACACATAGACATTCTCACAGATGCCTATCCACATAGCAGATGTATCTACACACAAACCTGACACTCATACACATTCATATATTACACATAATCATTCAGCAGAGACTCATTAAGCATCCACCTACTAAGCACCAAAGTCCTTGCCTTCATGGAATTTTTTTGGCCACACTGAGAGGCATATAGGATCTTAGTTCCCTGACCACGGATCGAATCCATGTCTTCTGCAGTGGAACTGCAGAGTCTTAACACTGGATCACCAGGGAAGTCCTGCCTTCATGGAATTTACCTCCCAAGCAGGGAAGGTTATAAAACCAATAAACCTATATAATAAAGTCAGACAGGAATAAGTACTCTGAAGAAAAACAGGGCAGAGGAGGAGCATATCAAGAGGAAAGGTGAGGCTATTTTAGAACGTATGGTCAGGAAAGGGATCTCTGATATTCAAAATAAGCCACATGAATCTTATTGGGGTGGGGGGGAGACTTTTCAGGTAAAAGGAACAGCAAGGACAAAGTCCCTGAGGAATGAACAACTTGGTGTGTATGTGGAACAGCAAGGAAACCAGGGTAGCTGGAGCTCAGAGGGTGAGGGGGTCAAGTGGATGAGACGAGGTGTGAAGGAGAGAAGGGGCCAGATCCCAGGGGGCTTCATGGCCCAAATAAGGAGTTTGAGTTTTATCCTGAGTATGATGGGAAGCTCCTGGACAGTCTTGAATAACATGATTTGTTGTTAAAAGCTCACTTTGCTGCTGTTATGGAGATCAAACTGCAGAGGGGTCAAGAAGAGAAGTGTAAAGGCCAGGCCACTACAGAATCCAGCCCAGCAACCAAAGGGCCTTCCACTCGGGCAGGATGGGTGGAGATGGGGAGAAGTGGTCAGAGTCAGGATATGGTATGAAGGCAGAATTGACATGACTGCTAAAAGGTTAGTTTTAAGATGTGAGGAAAAGAGGGCAAAAAGATGACTCAAGTGGACTGGGCTATTGAGTGAAGATGAAATTAAGATACTTGCTCCTGGGAAAAGCTATGACAAACCCAGACAGCATATTAAAAAGCAGAGGCATTAATTTGCCAACAAAGGTCTGAAAAGTCAAAGCTATGGTTTTTCCAGTAGTCATGTATGGATACGAGAGTTGGACCATAAGGCTGAGTGCCAAAGAATTGATGCTTTTGAGCTGTGGTGTTGGAGAAGACACCTGAGAGTCCCTTGGACTGCAAGAAGATCAAGCCAGTCCATCCTAAAGGAAATAAGCCCTGAATATTCATTGGAAGGACTGATGCTGAAGCTGAAACTCCAATACTTTGGCCACCTGATGCAAAGAGCCAACTCACTAGAAAAGATCCTGATACTGGGAAAGATTGAAGGCAGGAGAACAAGGAGACTAGAGGATGAGACGGTTGAATGTCATCACCAACTCAATGGACATCAGTTTGAGCAAGCTCCGGGAGTTGGTGAAGGACAGGGAAGCCTGGTATGCTGCACTCCATGGGGTAGCAAAGAGTCGGACACGACTGAGCCACTGAACAACAACTGAGTGAAGATGGATCTTTTCCTGAATTGCAAGCTCTCAGGGAGAAGCAGGTCTGGGAAGGGGTGGAGGAGAATGAAACCAGGCCTTGGGGGGACATCGTTGTTGCTGCTGTTTAGTCGCCAAGTCATGTCCAACTCTTTTGTGACCCCATAGACTGTAGCAAGCCAGGCCCCTCTGTCCATGGGATTTCCCAAGCAAGAATACTTTAGTGAGTTGATGTTTCCTTCTCCAGAGGAATCTTCCTGAACCAGGGATAGAATGCATGTCTCCTGCATTGGCAGGTGGATTCTTTACCACTGAGCCACCTGGGAAACCTTTTGGGGACATGATAGGTATAAAATATGGCTGACTTCCAAGTAAGAATGTTAGGATGGGGGCAGTTCCCTGGTGGTCCAGTGGTTAAGACTGTGTACTTCCATTGCAGGGGGCATGGTTCAATCTCTAGATGGGAAACTAAGATCTCACAAACCGCACAGCACCACTAGAAAAGAAAAAAAAAGAATGTTAAATTGGTAACTGGATATACAAGTTGGGAGCTGAGGTTTGGGTTTATAGGTTTCTGAGTGGACACTCACACAAGACACCTACCAATGACAGTTACTCACAGAATCCTACTCCATGCACCATAGACATGACCCCAAAGGCAGAGATCAGGGAGAAGAGAATTATGGTACAGAATACAATGTTTAACCATTTGTGTAACAGAATATACCATAAGCAAAGCTAAAAGGCAAACAACAAACCTGGGAGAGAACTTGCCATACATGACATAGCAAATCTGACCAAAAAATAAATAGCACAACTAAAAACAAAAGAGAATACCCATAACATATAAAGAGCTCTTATATAGAAACAAAAAGATGGTCACCTTAATAAAAGATGAGCTAAGAACTTCCCTGGCGGTCCAGCGGTTAAGAATACACCTGCTGATGTAGGGGACTCAGGTTCCATCCCTGGTTGGGGAACTAAGATCCCACATGCTTTGGGGAAACTAAGCTCACATACCGCAACTAGACTGCAATTACAGAGACTATACACTCTGGAACCCATTCTCTGAAATAAGAGAAGCCCACACACCACAACAAAGACCCAGCACAACCGAAATAAAAAATAAAACACAGGCTAAGTAAATGAGGAGACAACTAATTAAGGAAGAAAAATAGCTGTCTGATAGGTGACAAAAGAGCTCAGCCTTCCTTGTGACCAAAGAAATAAAAATAGAAACAATAAAATAAGAATTTTTACCAGTTTAGCAAATACAAAGAAAAACGATTACGCAGGGTTATTGAGGGGAGCAGGAAATGGTCCTTCTCCTACCTCACTGGCAAAAGAGCTCTTTCGTCCCTGCATCAAAAGCTTTTAGAGAGAGCATCTCTGGACTCAACAATTCCATTTCCAGAAATTTATCCTTCAAGTATGCAGAGATATGGATATAAGAATATTTATGATGGTTCTGCTTATGATGGCAAACAACTGGAATCCTCACTGTCCATATACAGAGGATTAGTTCAGTAAATGAGGAAACAGTCACGAGCGCCACAGAAGACGGAGCCACGGTTTAAAACAATGATGTGTATCTGTATGTGCTGATGCTCACAGTATATTGTTGAGTGAAAGAAATAGGTAACAGTATGCATGCGGTGATCCCATTTCTGTAATGTATGTATATATAAATATGCAGAGGAAAGAAATATGGAAGTAACAGAGCTAACAGAGGTTATCTCTGGGAGTCAGCAGATGGGATTACAGGTGACCTTCACACTCATATTCTTTCCTTCTTTCCTTTTTTTAAAAAAATAATTTATTTATTTGACTGCGTTGGGTGTGGCTCTCGGACTTAGCTGCCCCATAGCCTGTGGGATGTTAGTTCCCCAACCAGGGATAGAAGCCAAGTCCCCTGCATTGCAAGGTGGATTCCTAACCACTGGACCACTAGGGAAGTCCCCTTTCTTTTTTTTTTGAGAGTGGGGATGGGGGAGGGTTATCTTTGTGTTTCCAGGGATGTGGAAACGGAGCTGGTCTCCAAAATGTGTCACAAGGGCCACCTGGGAAAGAGGAACAAGGGTTTAGAAGTAATTTTATTCATCCCTCATCCCCCTGCCGGGCTGGAATGCCCCTCCCCCACCAAACTCAAGAGCTGTGTTGCCTTA